ATGGCCGATGAGATTCTTGAGCAGCTCGTGGGGGTCTCCTGTGCCCTCGAAGGCCAAGTCTCAGCACGCGCGTCTGGTGATCGAAGAGAGAGCGCCGAAGCAGCTTCCATCGGTGTCGATGCAGCGTCGATTTGCGTCGACCGGCGTCGGATAGAGTTGATTCGCGTGAGCCAGCAGGATGGCATGGGAGGCTCCCACGAGTTGCCACGGAACATCCGATCGGACCAGCAGGCGGCGCGATTGGCCCACGCTCGCCGCCGCCGCAGCTGCGGGCGGCGGCAGCGGGCAGCCGGGTGCGGAGATCGAGATCGGATTGGCTGCTGCTGAGAGTCGACGGGTAGCTCGCATCTGGTCCAACCTCTGGCATGCCTGAGGTCCCAGTCGTCAGGTTCTCGTGACGCGCGTGGATCGCGCGCAATTGAACACGTGCTCAATTAAGTTGGAGAATGCCCAGGGCAGGATTTCGAAGTCAAGTGCGCAGGACCTGGCGCCTCGGATGCAAAGGGGCGGAGCCCAGTCCCCGCGGTCTGGAGGCAGTCAACGACGGACTCTTGAGGCCCAACCCAGCACTCGGGAGCATGCGTATGCGAAGGCAGCCCCGACGTTCCTGGCCCTTCTTATTATGTTCCTTCTTCTCCTCGGACATCCAGGCATGACGATGACGATGACGACGACGATGACGATGACCACGGCGAAGACGATGATACGATTACGAAAACGGTGATGGCGATGTTTATGATGGTGATGATGATGATGCTGATGATGATGATGATGATGATGATGACGATGTGGGTGATGCTGACGATGCTGACGATTATGATGATGCTGCTGGTGCAAATGATTACGCTAAGAATTACGATGCTGATGATGATGCTCATGATGATGAGGAGGATGATCATGTTTGTGATGATGACGTTGTTGATGATGATGATTCTTAAGCTGACAAGGCCGATGATGGCGATGATGGTGATGATGATGCCGACCGGCGTCGGATAGAGTTGATTCGCGTGAGCCATGATGATGATGATGATGGATGAGATGATGATGATGGATGATGAGTTGCCACGGAATGCGATGATGATGATGATGATGATGATGATGATGATGATGATGATGCCGATGCGCGATTGCCGATGATGATGATGATGATGACACGCTCGCCGCCTGATGCCGCGATGATGATGCTGCGGGCGATGGCATGCGGGCAGCCGGGTGCGGAGATCGAGATCGGATTGGCTGCTGCTGAGAGTCGACGGGTAGCTCGCATCTGGTCCAACCTCTGGCATGCCTGAGGTCCCAGTCGTCAGGTTCTCGTGACGCGCGTGGATCGCGCGCAATTGAACACGTGCTCAATTAAGTTGGAGAATGCCCAGGGCAGGATTTCGAAGTCAAGTGCGCAGGACCTGGCGCCTCGGATGCAAAGGGGCGGAGCCCAGTCCCCGCGGTCTGGAGGCAGTCAACGACGGACTCTTGAGGCCCAACCCAGCACTCGGGAGCATGCGTATGCGAAGGCAGCCCCGACGTTCCTGGCCCTTCTTATTATGTTCCTTCTTCTCCTCGGACATCCAGGCATGACGATGACGATGACGACGACGATGACGATGACCACGGCGAAGACGATGATACGATTACGAAAACGGATGATGGCGATGTTTATGATGGTGATGATGATGATGCTGATGATGATGATGATGATGATGATGACGATGTGGGTGATGCTGACGATGCTGACGATTATGATGATGCTGCTGGTGCAAATGATTACGCTAAGAATTACGATGCTGATGATGATGCTCATGATGATGAGGAGGATGATCATGTTTGTGATGATGACGTTGTTGATGATGATGATTCTTAAGCTGACAAGGCCGATGATGGCGATGATGGTGATGATGATGAGAAGGAGGACGAGGAGGATGATGACAATGATGATGATGATGATGATGATGAGGATGATGATGATGGTGGTGATGATGATGAGAATGACGATGATGATGGTGATGATGATGATGATGATGATGATGATGATGATGATGATGATGATGATAACGATGGCGATTGCGATGATGATGATGATGATGATGATGATGATGATGATGATGATGCCGATGACGATGATGATGCTGCTGATAATGATGATGATGACGATGCTGATGCTGATGCTGCTGCTGATGATGTTACTGACGATGATGATGCTGCTGCTGATGATGATGGTGGTGGTGGTGACTATGATGACGGTGCTGATTATGCTTATGACGATGCTGATGATTCTGATGATGCTGATGCTGATGATTATGGTGATGATGATGATGACGACCTATAATGATGAGGATGATGAGGAGGATATTGGCGATGCTGCTGCTTCTGCTGCTGCTGATGATAATGATGCTGTTGATGCTGACGGCGATGAGAATGTCGATGCCGTTGACGATAGCGATGACTATGACGACGATGCTAATTCTTATGATGATGACGATGATGATGATGATGATAATGACGATGATGATGACGATGATGCTGCTGCTGCTGCTCTTGATGATTATGACGATGTCGATGACGATGATGATGTTCATGATGATGCTGATGGTGATGATGATGATGATGCTTACGATGGTGATGATGCTGATGCTGATGCTGATGAGGATGCTGCTGCTGATGAGGATGCTGATGCTTATGAGGATTCTGATGACAATGTCGATGATTATGATGATGAAGATGTTGATATGCTGATGATGATGCTGATGCTGATGATGATGCTGCTGATGATGATGATGCTGGCGATGATGATGATGCTGATGCTGCTGCTGCTGATGATGATGATGATGATGATGACGATGACGATGACGATGATGACGATGATGACGATGATGATGATTGATGATGATGATGATGATGATGATGATGATGCTGATGCTGATGCTGATGATGATGATGATGATGATGATGATGATGATGAAGAAGATGATGATGATGATGATGATGATGATGATGATGATGATGATGATGATGATGATGATGATGATGATGATAATGATGATGATGATGATTATGGTAGTGGTGGTGGTGGTGGTGATGATGATGCTGCTGCCTCTGCTGTTGCTGCTCTGCTGCTGCTGCTGCTGATGATTGTGACGATGATGGGGGTGATGTCGACGACGATGGCGATGGTGACGAAGCTGATGGTCACGTTCATCACGGTGGTAACGATGACGCTGGCGATGATGATGATGATGATGATGATGATGATGATGATGATGATGATGATGATGATGATGATGATGATGATGATGATGATGACGGTCGTGTGGGTGAAGATGATGATGAACAGAATTTTGACGAGGGCGACGACATCGACGATGACTTTGACGGTGGTGGCGACGATGACGATAACATGGTGATGGTGATCACGATGACGAGTGTAATGATTTCGCTAACGGTGGTCAAAACGGTCGTGCTGATCAGGATTATGAGGACGTGTGCTCCCGCAGAGGCTCATCAGTCCTGTCATCATGTTATTGGCGATCCGTTGACATTTTGTATGTGAGAGTAGGAGGAGGAGGAGGAGGAGGAGGAGGAGGAGGAGGAGGAGGAGGAGGAGGAGGAGGAGGAGGAGGAGGAGGAGGAGGAGGAGGAGGAGGAGAGGAGGAGGAGGAGGAGGAGGAGGAGGAGGAGGACGACGACGACGACGTCGAGGAGGAGGGAGGAGGAGTAGGAGGAGGAGGAGAGGGAGGAGGAGGATGAGGAGGGGAGGAGGGGGAGGCGGAGGCGAAGGCGGCTCCCTGGCGGAGGCGGAGGCGGCGGCTCCTCAGGGCCCATGCCAAGCTTCTCCTGGCTTGGAAGGACCCAACGGCGTCCTCGTGAGGGGCCGGGCTGAGGTGTGGGGTCCCTCGTCCAGGTAGGGCCACTGTGTTGAGTCTGTTCACTACCACCACCACCATAAGCTGGAGGGGGCAAGGAGGAGGAGGAGGAGGAGGAGGAGGAGGAGGAGGACGAGGAGGAGGAGGAGGAGGAGGATGAGGAGGAGGAGGAGGGGGAGGAGGAGGAGGACCCCCCCCACCAACTGATGGTGGTGGTGGTGGAAAACACGCCCATCACACTGGTCGACCTGGACTGGTGGAGCCTTTCAGCGTCTGAACAGGCCTGGGATCCGGGGCCCCTCGTGCCGAGTCTCGGTGGGTCCTTGCGCGCCGGTGCGAGCGAGGGAGTCGTTCGTCGGCGCTCAGGGCCAGGGATGCACTGACCCGGGCTTGGGTGCAGGATCCTGCAAGGCCTGGCTGACCCGCTACACTGTCAATGCCTCGCTTTCCTGGGGCTTTGGTTGTGTTCTTGCTCATGAGCATTTGTCACGTGTGCGGAGCCACACTGTCAATGCCGCGCTTTCCTGTGGCTTTGCTGTGTTCCTGTTCGCAACGCACACCGCAAGAGGCGGCGGAGAGCTCGAGAGATCCACCCACAAAAAGTGATCGACCCGGGTCCGTAGATCCCCGAGCTCGGCCCCCTGGCGGGCCCAGCAGACGCCGAGGCCAGGAGCAGCGCCTCGCCTTCGAGCGGTGGATGCTGTCGGAGCGCTGCGCCTCCGCCCCCGTCAGCGGCGCCGCAGCGGGCGACGCCGCCCGCAGCCCCGCGGGGGCGCCGCCGCCCCGGGGGCCGCCGGCGGCGCCGCCCGCGCCGCGGGCCCCGCGGGGAGGGGCCGCCGCGCGGAGGGTCCTAGCCGCGACCTCGGTGCGCGGCGGCGGTCGCCTGGGCGTGCGGGGCGGCGGCGGCCAGGGGAGGAAAGCATGCAGTCGAGATTCGGCGGCGAGCCAGGGGGGGAAATGAGAAGAGGCGGGCCTTCTCAGAAGGCTCGGAAGTCCCCCGGCCTTCTGAGAAGTTTTCTAAGCCTTCCCCGAAGACACAAAACAAATTCTCAGAAGGCGCGAGGGCTTCTGAGAAGCCCCGCGGCCTTCTGAGAAGGCCTTCTCCTTCTCGCTTCCCCCCCTCGCTCGCCGCCTAGAGATGGAGGGGAAGATCACGGGCACCGTGACAAAGACTGAGTGCGGCAACGTCGTGCCGATCTTGGTCACCGTCCGTCTGGGCCAGCGCCAGCTCGTGGCTCATCCTCGCGAGTCGGCGGCGGCCGGCACGGACCACGGCCAAGATCGGCGTCGACGAGAGCCCGCGACATCTTGGCCATGGTCAGCGTGTTTCTCTCCTCGACGAGGCGCTGGAAGGAGGACCCCTCTCGGCTCAGGAGGGGATCTGGCTCTCGGGCCGGCCGCCCACTCAGGGCCGGGCAGAGGCACGACGAGGAACCTTGTGGCCAAGGCTCGCCACGGCCCGGACTCCCCCTCCGTGTCTTACCTCAAGCGTTCCTTCCCGTAGCTCGATGAGTGTACCGACGCCGATGCCCCTGCCTCGTTTTCGCCTGTTTTTGGCCTCCTGCGTGCTCCTCCGCCCGCGGCTCCCTCGCCCCCTCTCGCGCTCCTCCCGTTCCCGTTTCTGCCCAAGGAGGCCCCGCAGTGCCCCTCGGTTGCCTCGACCGCGGCCCGGTGCCAAACCGCTGCGACCAAAGGCTGTGGCCTTCTGGTCGAAGAAGAGATGACGCCATAAACATACACTTCTGGCGCTCCGCGCGGATTTCTTGGATCCGCGCTGGGCCCCTCCCGGCGGCGCCTCCGGCGCCGCCCCTGGCGCGCTCCGCGCGCCAGGGAGGGGGGCCCAGCGCAGGTCCAAGAAATCTGCGCGGACCGCCACACGCTCGGGTTTTTGGGGCACCCTCGCCGCCACGGCCAGGCTCGCTCCGAGCTCCTGGCCAGGTCGCGCCCCGGGAGAGGTCCGGGGAGTGGCGGCACTGGTGCTCGGTCGGGCGTGCCCCTCTACAGGAGGAATGCTCCAAAGTGCTGGAAAAATAGTCTGGGGTTGATTTCTGCATAATCTTTGAGCATGGTTGGAGTATTTTTTTTTGTTGTTTAAAGCAATTTTCGTCAAAAACCGGCCTGCAGGGGGACACGCCCGACCTAACACTGGTGCGCTCCTGTCCCCCCGGGCGGAGGCGCGGCGGGCGGGGCACGCGCGGGCTCGGCGCGCGGCATCGCGGCGCACTGGCGCGGCCAGAGGGTGCTGTATTCGGCCATGGTGCTGCTGGAGCGGCTCGAGCTGCGAACCCGCCCGGTGAGCGGTGCGATCGAGATGGGTACGGAAATCAGCATCGTGTAACCGATCCCCATCCCCATCCCCATTCCCTTCGAGACTCCCGCCAAATTGCCCCCCCCCCCCCCCCAGTGGGGGGTAGACCCCTCGAAACCCGAAGGGAACGACCTATACCCCCATCTAGGGGGGTCACTCGGCCAGTGGGGCCCAGGCCGCGCCGCTGGGGATGGGGATCGGTTAAACGATACTCAGGAGCGGCTCGAGCTGCGAACTCGCCAAGTGAGCGGTGCGATCGAGATGGGTGCGGAAAGAGCGGGCACGAAGATCGTGGCCCCAGCGGGCAAGGCTCGGGGCTGCTGCGCTCACGGCCAGCCCTCCGAGGCACTTCGCAGCAGGCCTCGGCGGGCGCTCCGGGCAGTCCAGGGCGGCTCGACGCCCGCCTGGCGGGCGCTTCGGGGCGCCCCCCGCCCCGCCATCCGCCCGCCAGGGTGGATGGCTTGGGCCCTGGGCCATTTTTCCCCAATCAGTGCTTGCACTGAAGGGGTCCTGGCGCAAGTTGAAACATTTGGCGGAAGTTTCCTGCCGATTTTGGTAGCAGGCTTGGTTCTCAGGTTCCCTGTTCCGGGTGCCCGGCCGGGTTCCCGGTTGATGGTTCTGGGCCGATTTCGGTGGGTTCTGGGCTCCCGGGCTCCCGCTGTCGGTGTCGCCGCGGACATTGCCCATTTGAGACAGAGGGCCGCCTGCCCAACAGCGGGCGCTGCTGGTTTTGGGCAACATTTGCTGTTGGGTATCATGCGTTTTTTTCCGTGTCCGGCGTCCCACAGGTGAAGGACTTCGGGGTCGCCGTGACCTTCCGCGACGCGCTCCTTGAGGCCAAGCTCCGCTTCATGGAGGGGCTGCGAGAGCTGCGGGGGGCAAAGGGGGGCGCGTCTGCAGGCGACCAGGGCGCCGCTTGGCCCGAGGGCGAGAAGCTCGTGCCGCAGCAGCCGCCCTGGCAGGGGCAGCTGAGCGCCGAGGAGCTGGGGGACATGCTCTCCGCCGCCGTGGGCGCCGCCCTGAAGCGGAGGCGCCTGGAGCCCAACAGGGACATGGGCCTCTACCTTCGCGTCAACATGCCCGCCAAGCAGTGGATCGGCTCGGCCCTGTGCGGCCCCGTCTTTCACCTCGGAGGGGCCTCCATGGCGCTCGGGATGCGCAGCTGGAAGCTGCTCTGCGAGGCGCGAGGCTCCGAGCCCGCTCTTGCGACGGCCGAGGGCGCGTGCGCCGCGTGGCGGCAGGTGCGCAGCGCGCACCTGACCGCGTGGAGCCTGACCGGCCGAGACTGCGCCCACTTGGCCAGACGGCTGGACGAGCTGGAACAGCGGCGCCGGACCCAGGCCGCCGCCGGCCGGCTCCGGCGCGCGGCGCGCGCCCGCGACCGTGGCGCCAGGCTGACGGCCGTGGAGGCGGCCAGAGCGGCCAGGGCTGCGGCGAGGTCGCTGCGGGCCGCCGGCCGCGCGGAGGCAGCGATCGGCCGCCTGCTGGACACGTGGGCGAAGCGGCTCCGAGCGGTTGCCGAGGGAAGAAGCACGGCGGACCATGACCAAGATGTCGCGGGATCTTATCGATGCCGGTCTTGGTCACATGGTCCATGTCGGCCGTCGCCGACTCGCGAGGCTGATCCAGGAGATGACGCTGACCACGATCGACGGCGACCAAGATCGACACGCCGTTTCCGCGCTCAATCTTGGCCATGGTCCCCGTTTCCTTCCCCTCCAGGTTGCCGGGCGTGCGCGCTGCGGCGCGGGCAAGCGTTGCCGTGCCCCTGTCGCCGGCCCCCGCGCTCGTCCTCAGGCCAGGGGCCGCGCTGGCTGCCGGCAGCCAGGGGCCCGACGCGTCGAGAGCGCAGCCTCCGATCAGCGCGCGCGCGCCAGGGCGATCTGACGGCTCTCCCGGGGCGGCGGCGCGTCCTGGCGCACACGGCGCGGCGCCCCAGCATCCGAGGCTGTCATTCTCGCTGTTCTTCCTCCTTCCTGTTCCTGAGCGCGTGACTTCTTGACGCTTTGTGCACGGCCACCAGGCCACCAAGAAACCATTCGTGCGCGGGGATCTCTTGGGTCACCTTGGGGACATCTCGGGCTGTCTGGAGACCATCTGGGCCAGTCTTGGAGGCCTTCTTGAGCCATCTTGGCGGGATCTTGCGGCCATCTTGGAGGTCTTGACCCAACTTAGTAGATGATGGGATGCTATCTTGGCTCGGAAGCCTCACGAGGTACACATTTGCCTGGGTCCTGGCGTGCTGGGCCGAAGGGCTTGTGAGCATGATTCAATAGAGAACCTCAAGACCTGAAAAGCCTGGCACGTCTAGCACCCCTTTGTTGAATCAAGCGGGGGCGGTGGATCTGGTGGCTTTCGGTCTATCCCGCCACTGGGTGTGGGTTGTGGACCACCAGGCCTCTTGGGGTCTCTTGGTGGGCCTCTTGAGGTCCCCTGGAGAATCGAGGCCTCATGGATGCCTCCTGTGGGCGTTTAGGACCTCCTTGGGGGCCCCTCGGTGGAGTCGTGGGGGCCCGCCACAGGTCGTCGGGGTCTCTGGTGCCCCTCTTGTGGCCCTCTCGGCCTTTCGTCGCCCGATTAGCGGGACTCTTCAAATCGGTGTCGGCAGATCTTTGCCTGCAGAGGACCTCCAAGGACCTCCTGGGGGGTCCCCTGGGGCTCTCTCTGGTGGCGTGTCGGGAGCCTCTTGGGAGCTTTTTGAGCCGTCTCTTGAGCCATCCTGGGTCTTTTCAGGGCCCTCTTGGGCCGTTTCAGGGCCGTCTTGGGCTACAGTCAACCCGCATAATAAGGACGTGCAACCTTCTCAAGGGTACCCTTGCATACTTGCCCCTTCGGCCCTTGCTTGGCCGCTTTCGCTGGCCGCGCCTCGCTCGCGAGGTGTCGACATGGCCTTCCAAGGCGCTTGCATCCTCATCTCAGGAGGGGAAAAAAACACACAGACACAATTAATCGTCGATTCGCCAGAAAATCCGCCGACCCTGTCGGCGTGTGGAAGACGCATCCCGGTGTCGTCGTCTTGCGTGGATCACCGTCGTCGTCGTCGTCGTCGTCGTCTCCGTCGTGTCCTCGTCGTCTCCGTCTCCGTTGTCCCTCGTCGTCTTCGTCGTTCCCCGTCTCCTTGAGCGCGCGAGCCAAAGCGACATTGAGCAACGTCGTAGTTGAGTCGTGGCGAAGCCCCTCCCTACCCTCCCCGCCGGGGGGGGGGGGGGGGGTCGCCGGGGGGGGTCCCCGGGGGGGGTCGCCACCCAGATACGCATCCTCCCCGGGGGGTCCCGGAGCTCAGAAAAGCTTCAAGACGAGCCAAGAGCGCCAGAAGACACCCCCAAAAGGGTACAAGAGGGCCTCGACTCGACGAACGATGGCCCCAAGACGCCCAAGACGGCCCGAAGACGGCCCAAGAGACCCTCAAGACGCTCCAAGAGAGCCCCAAGAGCACTCCCAAGAGGGCCCCAGGAGCCAAAATCGTCAATTTTACATAGGTTTTTGAATGATTTCGGCCTTCTCGCCTTCTCGGCTTGTCGACACTCCAAGACGGCCCAAGGGGCCCCCAAGAGGCCCCCAAGAGCGCCCCAAGAGGCCTACAAGAGCCAAGACGGCCCAAGAAGGCCCCAGGACAGCTCAAGAGGCGCCCAAGACGGCCCAATAGGGCCCCAAGACGGGCCCAAGAAACGGCCAAGAGGGGGACGAGGAACCGAGAATTCGAGACTTCCGCCCTCAGAGGCCCCTGGGAAGCCCCAAGAGGCCCCCAAAAGACCCCAAGAGGCTCCCAAGCGGCGCCAAGACGCCCCCAAGATGCGCCGAAGACGGCCTCCAGAAGCCCCAAGAGGCCCAAAAGAGGCCCGAAGAGGCCCCACAACGGACCCCAAGAGGCTTCAAGTTGCCTTCCAGACGCCCCCGAGAGGTCAACCACGAGATCCCAACCAACATCCATAAGGCCTCCTCCTCCTCCCCCTTCACCCTTCCTCCTCCTACTCCCTTCCGCCTCCTCCTCCTCCTCCTCCTGCCCCCCCCTCGTGTTGTCTTTCGTCATCTTCAGGGTCGGCGGCAACGGCCGTAAGGCCTTCGCAATATAGGAAAATATGTGAAGCGGGGTGGAAGACAACAAAAACCCAAATATGGGAAAATATGGGGGATCCTTTTATTTGTGTGTGTGTTTATTTGCGTGTCCTGGGGCCCCTTCATTATCGCGCATCCTCGTCATACGGGCTGGCTGTATCTTGGTGGCCACCTCGGAGACCATCTCGGGGGTCTCGGCCGGCCTTCTAGGCGTCTCGGAGGCCCACTCGGCTCAGAAAGCTGGGGGCGGCGGCCTGGGCCAAAAGTCAGGCAGTGGCGAAGCGTCCTGGCTCGCCTATAGTCAGGAGGGAAAAAAGCACACAGACACAATTAATCGTCGACTCCCAGGAAAATATAGGAAAATAGGGGAAATGGGGGGGGAAGACGAAAACCCAGAAAATATGATAAAATATGGGGGGTCCTTTTATTTGTGTGTATTTATTTGTGTGTCCCAGGGCCCCACCATATAGGCCTACCAAGCAATCTTCTAAGAGCCTTTCGTGATTTCCACGAAATGTTCTTAGAACATTTCTGGCGGAGTCTTTTTTTTGTCGCATCGGGTTTATGTTCTAAGAACATTGTTTTCCTTAGAACATTTTCTGGTTCTGAGAACATTTCGTGGTAGGACTATAGGAATGCCGGGACGGTCGGTCCCTGCTCAAGACAGGGCCCGTGGGAAGGTCTTGGGCGGGGGCCGGCAGCGCCCACAAGGTCCTGCACGCCAGGCAACCCTTCGAGGCGCCGAGAAGGGGCAGCGGACCTCGGCGGCGCGTCCGGGGGGAAGGGAGAAGGAGAAGGCCTTCTCAGAAGGCTCGGAAGTGCCCTCGCCTGCTGCGAATTTTTCTACGCCTTCCCCAGAGACGCAGGAAACATCTCGCGCGAGGGCTGCTGAGAAGTCCCACCGCCTTCCGGGGAGGCCTTCTCCCTCTCACCTCCCACCTCGCTCGCCGCCGATCCTGGGGGGTCTCCAGGAGGCCTCTTGGCTCTCAGGGGGTCTTGGGGCTGTCTTGGGCGGGAGAATCCTGGGCACCTTGCCTGGCGCACTTTCTGAGGCCAACGATGTCGAAACACATGGGTCCTTACAGCAGTTTTTGGTTGAGGGAGGAGGCTTGTGAAACAAAGAGGGTGACATCATTCGCTCAAATGGAGGGGTGCTCAACTAGGGTCCCCCTGTGGAGCTCGAACAAGGGCCTCGTAGGGGCATTCTTGGGGCTCTCTTGGGGGCCTTCGGGGCATTCTTTGGGCATTGTCAGAGCTCTCGTCGGACATCCCAGGGCCATCTTGACGCCTCGGAGGCCCGTCGACAGCCGACATTTGTTATCCAATGACTTGAGCCTCTCGGGGGCATCTGTGGGAGGCTCGGGGGCCACGTTGAGCCGTCCTGGGGCCTCCTTTTGGCTTCTTGGAGCATTCAACTTGGACCCGTTGCAGTCATGTTGGGCCAGCTTGGACGCACCGACTCTGGTGACCGCCTCGGTCAGACCCAGAGGAGGCGGTGTGTGTGTGTGTGTGTGTGTTTGTGTGTGTGCGCGCGCGCGCGCGCGCCGCGCGCGCGCTTTGTGTGTGTTGTGTGGTGGTAGTGTTTGTGGTTGTTTGTGTGTGTTGTGGGTGTGTGTGTGTGTTTGTGTTTGTGTGTGTGTGTGTTCGTGTGCGTGTGCGTTGTGGTGTGTTGTTAGTGTGCGTTTTGTTTTGATTGTGTGTTGTGTGGTGGTTGTGTGTGTGTGTGTGTGTGTGTGTGTGTGTGTGTGTGTGTGTGTTGTGTGTGTGCGCGGAGCGGCGCGCGCGCTTCCCTCGTCCGCGCGGCGCTGTGTGTGTGGTGTGGTTTGTGTCTGTGTGTGTGTGTGTTTGTGTGTTGTGTGTGTGTGTGTTGGTTTTCGTGGCGTGCGGGCGTGCGTGCGTGCGTGCGGCGTTGCGTGCGGGTGTGCCCCCAGCGGGCGTGCGGGCAGCGGGCGTGCGGGCGTGCGGGCGAGCGGGCGTGCGTGCGTGTGCGTGTGCGTGTGCGTGTGTGTGTGCGTGTGCGTGTGCGTGTGCGTGTGCGTGTGCGTGTGCGTGTGCGTGTGCGTGTGCGTGTGCGTGTGCGTGTGCGTGTGAGTGTGCGTGTGCGTGTGTGTGTGTGTGTGTGTGTGTGTGTGTGTGTGTGTGTGTGTGTGTGTGTGTGTGTGTGTGTGTGTGTGTGTGTGTGTGTGTGTGTGTGTGTGTGTGTAGAGCCTCTCACCCACCGTGCTGAAAGAGTCGATCCGACAAACTGCGTACATTACGCCGATGGGCCTGGTGGGATTCTGGGGCCAGCGGGGGACCTGCCTCGCAGAGAGGCTTTCATCTCCAACCAAACTCGAAGTCTTTTCAGAAATGGCGCGCGAACGGCCTAGATGGTGGGGGGGAGGAGGGGGCCAGGGAGTGAGCGAGGAAGGGAGGGAGGGAGGGAGAGAGGGGGAGGAGGAGGGAGGAGGGAGGAGGGAGGAGGGAGGAAAGGGAGGGGGAGAGGGAAGGAGGGAGGAGGGAGGGAGGAAGGGAGGATGGAGGAGAGGAGGGAAGGAGGGGGAGGAGGAGGGAGGAGGGAGGAGGAGGAGGGAGGGAGGGGAGGGGAGGAGGAGGAGAGGGAGGAGGGAGGGCAGGGGAGGGAGGGAGGAGGGAGGAGGGAGGATGGAGAGGGAGGCAGGGAGGGAGGGAGGGGGGCACGTAGGGGGGGGCAAGGGAGGGAGGGAGGGAGGGGAGGGGAGGGAGGGAGGGGGAGGGGAGGGGAGGGGGGGAGTGAGGAGGGAGGAGGGGGAGGGAGTGGAAGGAGGAGGAGGGAGGGGAGGCTGAGGAGGAGTAGTGAGGATAGGGAGGAGGACGTCGGAGGAGGGCGGAGGAGGAGGAGGATGAGGAGGAGGAGGAGGAGGAGGAGGGAGGGAGGGAGGGAGGGAGGGAGGGCGCGAGGCAGGGGGTTGATTCAGCTGTTGGAGGCCTGTGTAAGTAGGCGCTGGGGCCACAGGCACGGCCCTCTTCGGTGGCACCTCCCACTCCAGGGATGGCCAGGGGCGACGAGGGGAGTGAGGCAGCGAGGTAGAATGGGCAGCGGGGGGAGTGCGCGAGGGAGGGAAGAGGACAGGAGTCAGGAGTTCATGCTGTCGGCGGTTGGGGAAGGAGGAAGCACGTTCTCCCGGGCGTGCAAGGCAACCTCCCTGCCACTCTTCCGCACTTTCGTTGGCCCAGGGCCCTGGGTCGCGGCACGCGCAGAAGCGGGCCAGCAGACTCTGCTCGCTGAGATGTATTGCTTCAGTATGGTTTTGATCTCATGACGTTCTAGCGCAGTGGGGCACCGTAGCCTTCTCCAAAATTTGCATCGTCAGCGTTCGGTCTCTTCGTCGCCGTCTCAACCGTCTGCTGAGCCACCACCTGAAGCACCTTCACAAGCCCCATCACCTTTCGCACCGTGATGCCTCGAGGAGTGACGACTAGGTGCTCGGAGAGTGAGGCAAACACGAGCTTTGATGCCCGCGCCTCACACGAATGGCTTGGAATAACCATGAACGGCATAAGCAACTTTTCTCGTAGGTCTGCGCGGATTTCTTGGATCGGCGTTGGGCCCCCTTGGCGGCGCCTCCGGCGCCGCCCTTGGCGCGCTCTGCGCGCTAGGCAAAGGGGTCCAGCGCTGATCCAAGACCTCCGAGAAATCATGCTTATCTGGTGTTTAGTTGCACCATTCATGTATGTTGCGGTTTTTCCATCATCATGCAGTCAGGCGCGCCAGAAAAATGTCAGCAGCGACGAGCGGCTTGGCGCACGGCGGGGCTCTGGGCGTGGGGATGGAGCGGGGCCGCTCGCGCTAAGCTTTGTGCTATCGCGAAGGCCTCACGGCCAGCGCCGCCGACCCGGGGGGGACGACGAAGACCAACGGCCGCGGCGTCGACGCTCGCGAGCTCTCGTGGGGGCCCTTGTGGGCCTCGTTGGCCTCGGCCCCCACCCCCCCCGGGGGTTTCCCCCCGACCGCCCCCCCGGCGGGGGATCAAAGGCAGTGGGCTTCGACTTGACTGGCGTTCCTCTTGCGGCTCTGTGGGTCTCTCTCTTGGGCGGGCCGTCTTGGTCGGAGAGGTGGGGGGATCATGATTCTCGGGGCCCCCCCGGAGGCCTCCCCCGGGAACCTCAGTCTGGCCAGAATCAAGTTTGATTCGAGCCGGCCACCCACCCAGCGACCACAAGGAAAGGTGCACTGGGCCTTTGTGTGTCTCTTGCCCAGAAGCGAAGCCGTCGATTTGCGAGTTGCTTTTTGCGATCAAGTGCATTCAACATTGTATCATATGTGAACAGTGCGCCAAACTCATGTAAAGATTCCAGCAGCCAGCGATTTCGGGCCCATTGCATTGCTGAGCCCAAAGGTGACGCACCTGTATTCCAGGATGATGTGTTATGCGAAGGAGAAGCATTTGGAGGGTCCTCAACCGATTCGTTCATGACTTCGTGGTGCTCGACGCCAGTGGCCTCCCCAGTGGACGTGCCTGTGGCCCATGCCGGCGACCACAGAGGGTGCGGGTGCGCCGGGGTGTGGTCTGCGATCAGCGTCGTTAGGGCCTTGGGGGGCACCACGTTGCCCCCGCCCTCGCCCGTCCCCCAGGTCGCGCGCTGCAAGCCGCACCCTCTGCAGCCACACCCCACGGGACCCTGCGCCCCTCGTGCGGGCTCCCCCTGCAGCCCGCGCGCTGCGACGGTCCCGCCTCCCGCGAAGCGTGCGCGGTTCGCGGTGCGCGGCTCGCGACGCCGCTGCGCAGCTGCCCCAACGCTCGGGCTCCCGTGCCCCTGGTGCCGAGGCGGCGGGGACTTGTCCAAGTGGGGCGCTCCAGGAAATCGGGCGGCGAGCCCAAGGGGGGAAGCCAGAGGGGGCGGGGCTCCTCGGACGGCTCCACGGGGGCTCCGGCGCTGCGAGACGTTCTTCGAAGCCTCCTCCGCGGGCGCAGGCAACCTCTCAGAAGGCCAGAGGGCTTCCGAGAGGCCCCGCTGCCTCCCGAGGAGGCCTGCGCCCTCGCACGGTCCCCCGTGGGGCGCGCCGCCGAGAGAGGGCCTCGCCCTCGAGGATCGGAGGTGTTGCCACGTCTCTCCTCCTCCTCCTCCTCCTCCTCCTCCTCCTCCTCCTCCTCCTTCCTCCTCCTCCTCCTCCTCCTCCCCCTCCCCCTCCTCCTCCCCCCTCCTCCTCCTCCTCCTCCCCCTCCTCCTCCTCCTCCTCCTCCTCCTCCACCTCCTCCTCCTCCTCCTCGGCATGATGGCCCTCCGCTCTGCTCACGCCGCCCTCGACTGGCCTTCCGCCGCCGTCCGGCTCGGCTTGTCTCCAGGGTGCCCTGGGTTCTCTTGGGTCCCGGTGGTTTTGCTGTGGAGAGCGTGGCGTTCCCACACCCGAAATCAATGGACGTGCTGGGGCCTCAGGGTTGGGCTTCTCGTGGAAGGTTTCTTGTGGTCGAGCTCCTACTGTAAAGTGGGGGCGGCTCCGCCTGCTGAATCGGCGGCGAGCGAGGGGGGGAAGCGAGAAGGAGAAGGCCTTCTCAGAAGGCGGCGGGACTTCTCGGAAGCCCTCGCGCCTTCTCATCAGTTTTCTGTGCCTTCGGGGAAGGCTCAGGAAACCTCTCAGAAGGCCGGGGGACTTCCCTGCCTTCCGAGAAGGCCCGCCCCTGCTCATTTTCCCCCCGGGCTCGCCGCCGAGGAAGCCTGCGGAAGCAGAAGGTGCGCATCCGTCTGCGTATTGAAGGGCCTCGGTGTGCAGACACACGTTGGGTCTGACACACGTTCTGAGGACCATCGACGGGGGTAGGGTGGGGGGGGGAGGCAGCGCCGCTCCCAGCATACCCACATGAGATGGCAACGCTCTTGGGTCCGGGGCTTCCAGAATCGGCCATCTCTCCGCCGTCTGGGGCACCACCCCTCCGGGGCCTCGGGAGGCCGTGGACCCGGAGGTCTGCGGCCTCCCTGGGGGCCGACTGGCCACGTCCGCGCCCACCGCCCCCGTGGGGGTCCCAGGGCGTCGCTTCCCCAGGGGTTGGGTCCGGGGAAAGCCCCGCCTCGCACCTGTGCGCGGGTGCCCCCTGTGCCCTGCGTGGCCGAGAGGCCCCCTTCCCCCCTTGCGTGTGTGCCGCGAGCGCCGTGCCACCTGCCCGTGGGCCTCTGTTGGCAGGCCATTCCCTTGTGCCCTCGTCGCTCCCGCGTGCCTCCTGGCCCCCCCTCCTCGCATGTTGTGCTCGCGTCCGTTCCTGCCTGCCAGTCAGGGCAGGCGGTCACGCGTGCCCCGACTTTTTGTATTTCTTGCGGCAGGCCTGGTGTTCGGTGGCTTTGTGGTTGGTATCCTGTGCCTTGGGTCCTGGGCTTCGCGCCTCATGTCCGCTGTATGGTACAGTCGGAACTGATTCGTAGGTCGACCCTGCCAAGTCGAGGGTACCCTTGTGTCCTGTGTTCCGCGACAAGTGCCTTCTGCGTTCCTATGGCAGCGTGGCCCTTGGAAGGGTCTTGTATCCTCTCGCGTGTCCTCTCCAATCAAGTCCGACTGTAAGGGTTACGTGCTTGGCCACGACCATGCGTCCCGTGGCCTCAGGTGGTGCTTGCGAAGCCCTTCTTTTAGCCGCCCGTGCCCAGCTGCTCTGCGCCCTGTTGTGCCCGAGTTGTCAGTGCCCCCCCCCCAGAAGGGTGCACCCTGTGCCCCCCGGGCGAAATCAGCTGAATTCGTTGGTGCATCAATACTGCCTCGCACTCCGTGTTCCGTGTCGCTTGCGGTACGCGTCGTGCCCCGTGGTTTCTGTCTCGTGCTTGTCGGGCTACGCAGCACTACTTTGCGTGCAGTGGATTGGAACATGTGGCGTTGTGGTCTGTTGCGCATCTGGCTCGTGCTGCTGGCTTGCTGGAAGTCGGCTTGCCAGCCAGGCACCGATCGAGCATACTTACCTACTATCTGTCGTCCACCGTGAGGGGCGCTGGCTAGTGGAAGATCAAACGCACACAGACGCACACGTAATATCGGTAGCGGGTATCGGGAAAAGCAGGCAAGCGGGGCGGAACATGTTCGGGCTATATTCGCACCGACGCGGCCAGGCCAAACGACACATGAGCCCGACGCGCTTTGCCTTGCTTCGGTCTGCTTTACTCTGTTTTGCTTGCGCTGTGCTCTGCGGTGTTTTTCTCTACGGCCTTTTACCTTGCATGTCTGTTTTTTGTAGTGGGCTGAATGGTTCCAGAAGCTTCGTCCGACAGGCGCAGGCAAGTGTGGCAATATATGCGTGTTGCCGTGTGTGACGATGGCGGCGATGATGCTGGCGGAGGCAACGGCGGTGGTGATGCTGATGGTGAGCATGTTCGTGGTGGTGATGGTGGTGGTAATGGTGGCGACGACGACGGTGATGATGACGATGATGTTGGCGGCACCGATGCCCAGGGCGATGGGGAGCAGGAGGAGGAGCAGGAAGAGGAGGAGGAGGAAGAGCAGGAGGAGGAAGAGGAGGAGGAGGCAGAGGAGGAGGAGGAAGAGGAGGAGGAGGAGGAGGAGGAGGAGGTTTTGATTTTTTTGATTTGACTTGCTCGCGGGTGATCGTCTGCCGAACACTCCTGCCCGTGGCGCCGAAACGACGAGCGAGGGGCCCGAGGAAGGGGCCGAAAGAAGCGAGGGACGGAAACCCAGGACCCAGACAACGCCGAGCGAGGGACCCGACCGAAGAAAACGGGGCACGAGAACCACGGGGGCCCGAAGAGTGCTCCACTACATCACGCACCTCCTGGTTGAGAGGTGCATCAATTGCTCTGGAACAGCCCTGCAAAGGTTCTGCAGAGTGCAATTACATACTCCTCCACCTCCAATCATCTCATACCTCCACCCCCAACCAACTACGTACGCATAGACAGGCGGGAGGGGATGGAGGAGAGGAAGATCGCTGACCGCGGAAGGGAAAAATGGAAGAGAGGAGGAAGGCCAAGGTCCTCAGATGTAGCCCATGCCCTCAGCCTCATCCTCATCATCCAATTCCTTCAGCAGGGCAGCTGCACTGGCACGGGTGGCGCCCGCCTGGGCCATGAGAGCTTCGTGAGACAGCCGAGGAGGACGGCGTCCACGATGCAGCGCACGATCGTCGTCTTGGTGAACCACTGAGGCCAGCGTAGAGGGTACTGCGGACCTCGGTACAAGGATGCCAGAAGTCGGAGCACACCTGCGGGGCATAGAAGGCCTGGCCGTAGACGAAGCCTCTATAGCAGCGCTGGTGGTTGAAGCGGTTCGCAGTGTAGACCTCCCAGCTCCCGAAGCCAGCGTAGAATGATCTGCGGACCTCGGTGCAGTCAGCCTGGTCGACGGACGTGAAGCCTTCGCAGCCGTCGTCGACGAAGCAGGAAGGATGACAGGAAAGGAGCACGCCGAAGAAGCCTGTGACGCCGTAGCCGACGGTGGGGTAGAGGAGGCCATAGTCGCTGAAGCAGCTCTCGGGG